GAGGTAAGGGGATCGACTCCCCACACACGAAGGTTCTCGGTGTCCAGGAAATAGAGGCAGCGCTCGTCCGAGGAAAAGCTCTGCGAGCTGAAGCGGACGGTCTTGATATCGGGATCCCCCCCTGGAGGGAATCTCCTCACGTCAGTCCACTCCGCGCCGTCSATCGGGATCCCTGTCTCTCTGGACTCCGCCACAGGAGCGCTTACGATGGAAACGGGTGCAACACCAAGAGCTACGTACAGACGCGTCCCGTTCGGATTGAACGTGAGACCGCGGGCGCCGCTTACGGGAAGGGAAGTAGAAGTAGAAGTTCTGCTGCCATTGTTTGTGGACACGGCGAAAATCTTGGAGTACTTGTCCTCCCCAGTTGGTTTGGACAAGAGCACAAGACTATCGCCCGCTCGCGTCACATCCATCGCCCAAACGTCGGCCATCGAAACGGTGTCATTTGGGCCAGCGTACTGGATGAATGGGGTGTCAACAGCAGAACCGTTTCCCGCGCCGAAAGGCCACCAGTAGCCGAGCAACAGCCCGTCAGGAGGATGGCTTTCGTTACCGACTTCACCGAGATCGACTTTCCAGAATGACTCGCGCCGATGAGAGAGCTCGTCGTTCAAGTAGCAGACTTCCCAGAATTCGACGTAAAGTGCCGTGTTCTGCGAAGCAACGACTAAGTCGTAGACAGCAGGACGGCACCAATACTTGCGGGTCGACGATTGCAGGAACGGAGGGACGGCAGTGTGGGACCACACCAGGCGGCTTGAGGGAAACAAAGTCCTATTGCGAGGAACGAGTTTAGACGGCAGCGGAGTCGGGTCGGAGGCGGCCGGGGCGGCCGACGACGAGAAGCCGCCGCAGGCAAAGACGGAGCAGCCGACGACGGAGCCGCCGACCCCGACGATGGAGATGAAGGCAGAGCCTTTGTCTCGTTCTGTAACAGATGCCTTCTGCTGGAGGGCATTGAGAGGAGGCCGCGTCCCGGCGCCACGTCAGCAGCTCGACTAAGAGGAGGACGCGGAGGAGGAGGTATCGAGTCATGGAACGAAGAGGTGGCCGCCTGAACACTAGCACTTGTCCACGTCATCAGAAGAAGTACGTAGAAACATCCGATCGCTCCAATGCGCAGAGACCATCAGGAGGTGCAGGAGGCAGGACACATCATCAACTTGCCCTGATTGCGTGCGAACATCCATCGAGTCTATATATATTTATATATATATATATATATATGTATAATGTATATATATGCCTAATATATGTATGTCTACTATATATATGTCTAATATATATATGTTTATATATATATTCAGCCTCCTGATGAATCGGTGAAACTCCGACGAAACAGTTTGTCACAGCCCCTCGTTTGTTGTCCTCTTCTCCCTCTCTGCCTACGATTTACCGGGCAGATCTATTTGACGATATATATATGTATGTATGTATATGTATGTATGTATGTATGTATGTATGTATGTATGTATACGCGCACAGTCAATCCACAAAGAATAAATATAAATAAATATATATATATATCTATATAGCACGAAAAAGCCAGGCTAACCCGACTTTCAATAAACGAAGACCAATGTCGAAAGAGAATTGACACCCGGCTTTGATCCCTCTATCTGCTCTCCCCAGTAGTACCCCATTCAATTTGACGAAGCGAAGAAAAGCCTCAGAAAATGCCGAATTGAAGTTTAGCTTGTGAGAACAAACTGATAAATGCATTCATCATGATCAAAAGAACAAAACTGCGACCAAGACCAAAACAGAATTGACAGCCGGAAAAAAAAATTAATAAACGAATAAAAAATAAAAAAAAAGAGGAATTGAGAGCGGGCTATTTTCCTTTTCACTCACTCGTACCGACTGAAGAGGCGTATAGGTGGATAATGCCACCTTAAGAGTTTACCTAGGCTCAAGTTCGACTAACCCAAATTCTCGACTCCTGACCTTTGATACTGAAAATCAACGGCGAGGACCGAAGAATCTGGATCTGGATCTGGTCACGTGATACTTGGTCAATTGTGAGAGCAAAACTGATGAACGCGTTTATGATTAAAAATAAACAAACTGCGAGGCGGAGAATCCACACCACACACAACCGTACCGACGCTCACGGATTCAAAAGCATCGCAGATAAATGAAGTGCAAGGAAGCATAGTAATTTATTTATTTATTTATTTATATAAAAGCACGCTCCCTCGCCAGCTCAATGGAAAAAGAGAAATATTCTGCTATCTGCCATAATTAAAAAAAAAAAAAAAAAAAAAAAAAAACAACAAAAAAAAAAAAAATCAAGAAAACAAAAAACCAAAAAAAAAAATAAAAAAAAAAAAAAAAAAAAAAAAGCGCTCCCAAAAAAATTATTGCGAGGGAACGTTCGACGCGATACAGAGAAGATAGATAAACTAGTACGGCCCCTGGGGTAAGAATTACACACGCACAAATAGAGAAACTGACTGAAAAAAAATGAAAAAAGAGAGAGTGAGTTCACTTGCTCTTCACAGCTAGCGGCTATGGCCAACAAGAGAAAGAAGAAATCTTTCGTACCGGGCACATGGTGATGGTGCGCGGGGAAGAATTGACGAGAGGAAGGAAGGGTGGGGGAGGGCTCATAAGGGGTAGGACCCTATCTTTTAAGAGAAAACAAAATCAAAACGAAGCTATAATACTTAATACAACAGAGATTGTGAAAGAAGAATGAAGCAAGAAGGAAAGATCGGGAGAAAGAATGTAAAA